CTCGGCTCACCGCAACCTCCACCTCCTGGGTTCAGGCAATTCTCCTGCCTCAGCTTCCTGAGTAGCTGGGATTACAGGCATGCGCCACCACGCCCAGCTGATTTTTTGTATTTTTAGTAGAGACGGGGTTTCACCATGTTGACCAGGATGGTCTCGATCTCTTGACCTCGTGATCCACCCGCCTTGGCCTCCCAAAGTGCTGGGTAATTACAGGCTTGAGCCACCGCGCCCGGCAGACCCTTCATCTTTCATACTGCGAAACAATGCTCACCAGGGCAAGTGTCACATCATTATGTAATACAAGAAGAAAGATGTCCCAGGTCTCTTACTAACAAACATAGAATCTTTTCCATTTCATAACAGAGGTTTATACTATAAATACAATTATATTCTTGAAAGACCAAATCAAATGTCAAGAAAAACAAATCCATGATAATACTTTAGACTTTAAAAAATCCTAAAGCAAGAATTTCATAAAAATCTACGTCAATAACTGTGTTCAAGATAATTAGTGTGGAATACAGTGCCGTAGACAGTGACAGCAGCAATTCACTGGTACCGTAATTCATCTATATCCTTATATGGTACTCTGTGTATTGGTTGTGTTTTCATCTGCATCACTTGAGTTAAACTTCTTCCATAAAAATTTCTCATTTGATTTCCAAAGAGAAGCTGCTGGCTCTTCTCTCCTTTTGGAGGGTGCTGCTAGAGGTGCTTTTTCACACAGAGTCTCTATTACCGCCAGGTCTGTGAGTTTACTAAGACTCTCATCATTCTGCTCATTCAAGATGTCCCAGAAATCTTTTGGTCTCTGTTGTGCTTTTTCCGTGGGCCCTGAAAGAACTTTCTTTGGCGGTTGTGTGGGACTGTTCCCATGACTTTTAAAAAGGTCATCAAGAATAGAGGTATCACCAAGTAAGCTCATCACAGAAGTCTTTTCCAGCACAGGATTTTCTATCTTTTTGTTTTCCAATTTGCGAAGGGGTTCTTTTCTTGAAACACCCGTTCTTGTGAGGTCCCGTTGGTCTTTCACGGTATTTTGAAACCTTCTCTCACGTGCTTCAGACTCACTGTTCAGAGAATGGGATGTCACAGTACCTTCAGATGCTTGGCTGCTTTTTCCACTGTCAATCTCTTGAGTAGAACCAACAGGTGATTTCTTAGTTTCCGCATCACTAGAAAATACCTCTTCTCTACAAGAACTACGATTTTGAAGCTTAACTGACTTTCCCTTATATGTTTTTGGACAGCCAATTTGAGAAGTTTTGTTGGTCGAATCTTTAAACGACAAGGTTTCAGAATCTGACAGCCTTGTTTTTATAACTGGTTTTCTTTTTTCAGATTTCTTTCTGATGCGCTCTCCTTTCTCAAAGGCAGAATTGTTGAATTCTGATGCAGAATCCACAAAAAATTCTTTTACCTCCGGATACTGGGAAGCATAAAAGTCCCTTAGCATTTTCTGTCGTTCTTCTGATGTGGCACTGGTTATACGTTTAGCAAATTCATTTACAGAAGACGAGTTAAAGTGAGAGGCCATTTCTTCAAATTGTTTTCTAAAGATTAAATGAACAAAACTAGTAGTTATTTTCATTACATTTTATGTTGAAAGAACTCATCACCAGTAACAGGAAATGTAGGGGACAAGGAAGGTAATCTTGTTCCTTTAGCATACGTCTGCTGAATTCCACAATGAAAATGCATTTTATCCAAGTAGAATGAGGCCTCTTCCCTTATGCTACTGAGAAAAGTAATTAGCTCATGAAATCACCAGCTTTTTAGTTATTTTGGTTTATGCTATTACATTAGGTATTTCCTGGGAATTGTGGAGGCCCAGCATGCTACTCCTCCAGTGATACAATTTATGACTGACACGAGGATCATGATTTATAGAATCTGTACTTGAAAATCTATATGGTATTCAAGTCTTATGAAATAAAATTGTCAAAGAATCTTAATGAAAAGAGCAAATTCTGAAAAATTAAGAAAGACACTTTTTTTTTCCCTTCCCTCTCCTTGTCCCCTTCTTCTACAGATACAATATAGAAATCGCACAAGACTTTTTGATGAGCCCAAAGGAAAGTCCTAAATTGATCGGCCTAGATTACTTTTCCCCAGTTGATACAGACACCTAAGTTAAGAAGTGAGATGCTATTAGAAGTGTGTTGTATTCTTAGCCTAAGATACTAATAAAAGCTGTTGTATGCATATATGAGGAAATGGGCCTTCAAGAACCTTGGTAAGATAGAGGCAGAAAGATTTAAGGACCCGGGCAATGAGCCCTGCTCCCTTCCCTAAATAAGGGCGCTATGGACTACACTGCACCCTCCCCCCGCCAAATCATATGAAGCCCCCTAACCAACAACATAACAATATTTGGAGTTGTGCCTTCAGGAGGTAATTAAGGTTAAATGAGGTCATAAGGGGGGGGCCCTGATCCAACAGGATTAGTGTCCTTAGAAGAGATGCCAGAGAACCCACACAGTTTTGTTCTCTTCTCTCTCTTCCTCTTTGCTATGTGAGGACACAGGGAGATGGTGGCCACTTGCAGGCCAGGAAGAGGGCTCTGACCGGAAACTGAATCAGGTAACTCCTTACTGTTGGCCATCCAGCCTCCAGAACTGTGGAAAAAATTTCTCTTGTTTAAGCCACCTAGTCTACAGTATTGTGTTACTGCAATCCAAGCAGACTAAGACAGTGGGTATTGCTTTGCTGATGATGAGTTGAGGTCATGAGACAGGACAGCTCAATGTTTATAAATACTCCTTTGAACAAAAGTCATAGATAGTGAGTGTAGCAGCATATGATTAAAAGTCCTAAAGTTTTAGAAATTATATTTGATACCATAGTTCCTTAAAACGTTCATTTATTCACTCAACAAATGTTTAAAGCCTGTTATGTGCTAGGTACTACAGCATGAACTATATAACAGCAAATAAGACTCTGTTTCCTATCTTTGAGGAGTCTACAGTTTACCTGGTGGAGACAAACGCCTGAAAATCAAACTAGAATAGACTGATAAACCCAAAATGTAAATTTACCAGGAGGTAAATATGGGGGCTCTACTGGCACTCATAGAAAGGGAACCTAGCTTAGTGACTGGTGGTAGGCAAGGTGAGTAGAAAAGGCATCTCTTCCTGACAAGTGGGTCAGGTAATGATGAGTGAGGAAGTCTCCCAGGGGGAGGAGGCGCATGTACCTCGGGTCCAAGATAACCTGGTTCATGGAGGCGCAGGAGAAACTGCATGGAAGACGCTACAAATCATAGGCATCTGTATGCCAAGTTCAGAAGTTTGAATTTTATCCTATGACAACAGAGAACACTTAGCATAAAACAGTAATTTACTTTTAGTGTATGTAAGTAGAAGCTTCGATGCCACTTTTATTTTTGACACGTAGACCAGGTTATATATTTTGTGTTTCCTTTGCTGTTAGTGGCAGACCATAAAGCATGCTCACAAGTTTCCTTTGTGGCCTCAGATGGGCCCATGGCTTCTAGTCCTCACTCCACTGTCTTGTTAACTTCTCCCAATCCACATAGTATACATGCTTGATCAGCATGTATACTCTCATCTCATATATATAAACAGAATATTTAATAACACATACACAAGACACCAAATTTCTGTCCTGGAAACTGCCAACATTCTTGTTGGAAAGTAACAAGCATGCTCTTAAGAGGTTCCAGTGTTCACTTCACATGAAGTAATGAGATATTATTGTGTATTAATCATCTCTAAATCCATTTTCATGGACATTCTAATAAATATTTGTGCTTGTAAAGATTAAGTGATTGGCAAGGTTATAAGCTGATGTCTTATTTATCCAAGACTTGTGGTGTCTCAGCAGCTGCCAAAGTCACTTCACCTCTGCTGTGCTGAAACCGTGACCTCTTCCATGACCCGTCACCTCTGGGCACAGAGGTGCTCTAGCCTCATTTTATCTGAGTGGTCTGCAAGTACACTCTGCCACATGGTTGCCACTTACAGGATAAGCTGTAATTATCACTCATTTTATTTTTGCCTTCCAACTAGCTTTCCTAATTCTGGGCCTCCAGCATTTTCTCTAAGAGTGGAAGAAACTACAGGGTACAACCAGAGTTATGCATAAGGCAGCCACTCTGTGAAGAAAGATGAGTAAAGTGGAATTCCATAACCCACTTAGGGAAAGGGGAGAAAAAGAAACCAAAGATAAGTATCTTTCAGCAAGTGTATTAAAAGCAGTTATGTATCATGGATATAATTCAAAATCCTCTCTCTCTCTGGAGGAAGCGGGGTGGAACACAACTCACTTCATCTTCTGTCTGCCTAAGCTTCTGGAAGGAGAGGTGGGACAGAAGGCCTCAGATGATCATGTGACTGCAGCAGAAGGGGGTACAGTGTTGATTCTGATTGACTAGGACGGTTAATGGAAAAGAGGGTGGTAAAATGTACATGGTCAGATGGTTTTAATTCTACATCCCTAACTGGTAACCAAAGCCAATGAGACACAGAGTGACTGAAACACTTGAACATGCCACTAGAGCTCAACAAAGCTGATAAGCCTGTCGTTGCTCTGCCCATGGCTCAAGATGCGTATGCAGCATGCTGTACGGCATCGTGTCCATTCCAAAAGCAAACTCCCAACCATAGCAGGTGCTGTATCAGTCACTTTCACAGTGCTGACTGCAACGTTCGATCTGGTGCCGGAGCTGAAGGACTTCATCAGGCCAGACAGACCGATTGTTCGAGAGAAAGGCAAAATAGCACCATGGTGCATGCCTGACTACGAAAACATGAGTAATGTTACCATCAAGTGCAAGGTTGTGAAGGACGCTTTCTCGCCGATCTATCATGCTGTGTGCAAACTCACCTGTAACCTGATGCAGCAGATAAGTAAAAGATTCAGTGCCCTACTCTCAGGTGTCAGGCCAGGGGGCACCATAGCCTCCATCAAACTCAACCCGGCATGTGGCTTCAAAGAAGCCACAGCATGAGTAGCTAGCAAGGGCCCTGACATCAAGATAACACGATCACTCTTTGCAACTTGGTGCCGACTCGAACCTTGGGGTCACTGCATGTGCCAAAGTAAGTAAGTTCAAGCTCATCACAACCTTTTTCGAAATGACCTCAAATGTTACAATGTGACGTTTCATTGAGGAAGGATTCAGTCATGCCTCACTGTCTCTGGTATAGGTTGTGACATAATGAAATTCATGAGTGTTGAAGGATGACTCATTGAGAAACATGGGGAAGAACTCTTTCCATTTCTTAGAAGTCTTCTGATTCAGAAGGCACAAAGAATTAGCACCTGCAAAATTCCCTAATCTTTGTAAGGTTGCAAATGCATGGATAAGGAAGCTAGATACTTCTTTCAGACACTACAAGTCAACAAAGGAGTACCCTTCCAAACTTCCTGATGATGATATTGAAGAGGCAGCTTCCAAACCCTCTCAAGAAGGCACTGATGAGCAGAGAAGATGAAGGAGGACAGCTGAGACCCATACTCCAACTGGTCATGCCAGCACCCCAGGGAGCTGGGGGACCAGCTCTTCCCCGGGCAGCAGAGGAACCAGCTGCCTGAGAGTTGCCAAACACCTGCAGACAGTATTTTGAACCCACAGAGCCACAGACATTTCCCACTGCCCCCGGAAGTCAGCAGGACCAGTCTGACCATGCCTCCCATCCGTTAACCTCCGTCATTCATTACCACCGGCCTCTCATCCCCTCCTACTGCATGTCTTGATCTAACCCAGTCCTCCACCCTACCAAGGCTTCCCTCAGTGCCCCTGGAACCAACAGTCCTCCAAGTCTTCTGCTTCTATGCTGAACGGTCCTGCGCTGATGATACTGCCTCTTCCCCTGCAGCCCTTGCAAGGCAAGGCTGTTCCATCTCACAGCTCTCCAACCTCAGAGTTAGTGCTTCTAGACACTGCTGCTTCCAGACCATTCTCTACTCGGAAAACTCCTTCCCCTCTTTAACGTTTACGCCATCCAGCTAAACTGTTCTTTCCTCAATCTTAAGTGCGCCCTTCGTTGCTTCCTGCTAGCAGCTAAACTCTCAAGATCCTGGATTAATCTTGTTTCCCACCCCATCTCCTGCCATCATTCTTGATAACATCAACATCCATGTGGATGTCCCACCTAATACCTGGCCCACCACTCTGTTTAGCTCACCTCCAAACTCATCCCAACTCCATGTTGGCCCCTCCTCCCAAGTTTATAAACTGCCATTGTCATTACCATCAATAGCTCAACCGCTATGCCCCTGACTTAGTCATCTCAGGCTCCAGCTCAGCTGCTTCCTGACCACCCACAGCAGCAATGCCGGGATACGTTGGTGACCTCAAATCCTCAAATCCACTGACTCTTGTGCTTTTGCACTATCCACCGGCCTCCCTTGTTCTCCTTAGGTCTAACTTCACTTTATAATCACTCCTTTACATTCTTCAGCTTCCTTGCTTCTCTCTCCCACCATTCTAAACCCTGGCCAGACCCTGCCATTTCTCTACCTGTGTTGGCAACAGAGCAACTGGAGCTTGCTGAATAAAATGTGAATACTGGACAGATGATTTTCCTGAAATTATTCTCAAATGGGAACGTAATGCCACCCAGAAATTCTAGTCCCATTAAGCCTGTTTTCCTACTTTATAAACAATTTGTTTTCTAACTTCTCTCGCCCTAAATCTTTCTCCCTCTGAACTGATGGCTTCAGTTCTCAATTCACTAAGACAACATCACATCTGTGCCTGTGTTTGTCCCTCTTGTTTCAATGCTTCTCAAATGCCAGGCCGTGCCTATGGTCTGGGCACCGCCCTCCACTGCTTCCAGGCCTTCCCTCTTTCTGTCTGCACGCTCTGGCATGATCTCTTTTTTTCCTATTATTAGTGTTCTCCCTCAACACACAGCAGGTTCTGTTATCTCCTCAATTGTAAGACCCCACAATGCCCTCCAGCTACTGCCACTTTTTACATCCAAACTTACAGCGCCGGCCACTCCCTGTCGGGGTCTGTCCACTGCTTCCATCCAAACTTACAGCGCCGGCTGCGTCCTGCAGAACCTGCTAACCGCTTCCCAGGTTGCTCCTGCCAAGGTACCTGCTGAGCACTCTGCTGCCACCTCCAGTGGGCAGTTTCCCACTCACCTGCTTCTGGTTCTCTGCAGCATTTGATAAAGTTAAGAACCCCTCCTTTTAAAACCCTCTTACTACTGGACTTCAGAACCCAACGCTGCCTCTTACGCTGCCTCCAGTCTGTCCTGGGGCTTCTCTCCTCCTCTCTGTGTTCTGTTCCTAGGTTGCTCACACAGTCTCACGGTTCTGAAGACCATTTATAAACTCTATGCTGATGACTCCCAAATTTAAACCTTTAATCCCCAAATCCAGAGAAGCACATACATACATTGCCTATTTGACCTTTCCAAAGAATGCCACATTTAATATAAGCAGAAAGGAACTCTTGATATTTTTCCTCTCTGAACTTGCTTCTCTTGGGTTTTCCTCATTCAGTACCTCCACTCTGCTGCTCAACACCGAAAGAAGTAATCTTGATCTCTCTCTTTCCCAAACCAGTCCATCACCAAACTGAATTCATCCACTTGACTCTATCCTCAAGGCAACCACTCTGGTGCAAACCCCCTCACCAAGTTCCTTCTCGTCTCCCCTTATCCATTCTGCCCTCTTCCACAGGGAAGGTGGAACCATCTTTTAAAAGGATACATAGATAGTGCCATTATTCAACAGTTTTCCACTGCCTTTGATCAAAATCCGAACTCTTTCCGTAGCCTCCAAGGGTTGACAAGCCCCAGCGCCATCTGCGTCTCTACCCTCCATCTCGTGCTGCTTTCTGGTTGGTTTATTTCTGTACTAAGGCCACCATCCTCCTCTCAGCTCCTTGACCACACCAAACCTCCCCCCTCCTTGGGGATGCTCCTACTCTGGTTCTTTGCACGGTTGTCCTTCAGCTCTTAACTTAAATGCTACCTGTGTAGGGAGTCTTCTCTGACTTCCCAAAAGAAAGGTGGTTCCACATCCCCTCCCCATCCCATTACTCTCTTTCAGGGCGGCTTGTCCATTTTTTTCTTTTAACACGCCATTTTGTAATTATTTGTAGGTTTACTTTTTAAAATTTTATGGTTTGACGCCAACCCTATTCCTCTGTACTGGAGGCTCTGTGTCATTTTTACACAATATCGTCAAGACTCAACACAATGCCTAAGCATATATTAGGTGCTCAAAAAATATTCAATGACAGAATGAATAAAATGCACTTAAGTATTTCATTTCTTTGTATAACATGATTTCCCTTTTTTTGGTAATCAATTCAGGGATTGGCCTTCTAACAACATCTAAAACATTTGCAATTTGTTTTTGAAATTTAGATTTTTCTGAAATATTCCGATCTCGGGTATGGTTATAACTCAAATATTTGTATATTTTACTAAGGAGCTACATTTCTTTCAAGAATTATTCTTTAAGTCTAGCATTGTCAGAGACAATATACCTGCGGATTCCTTTTGGTGTTTCTCCAATTATGAAGGTGGTCTGGTCTGTACGGTAGACTTTTTTCTTCTTCTGGCTTACAGGGTGTGAAATATAAAGAGGAAGTGAAATGCTGCCTTCGCTCGGTTGCTGGCCTTTCTTTGTGTGTGGCAATGTATCTGCATCTGCTTTTTCTTTATATGTCTGAAAAAAAGAAAGGAACCAAAAGCTATGTCTGAAAAGATGGTTATGGATGGTCAAATAATTAGAATGTCTTACTTTTTCCCAGTACTCTTTATAATGAAGTAAATCATATTCTCTAACTGAAATCACTGTCAGAAGATGTTAACCTAGATCTTTAAAAAGATGACACAGGCAAAAGTTATTTTTTTTTTTAACCTTTCTTTAAGCTATAAAAGTAATGGCAATAATATGATATTTTCATTGTCAAGACTGTGGGCATACTGATACATATGTTGATATCTACTATACCAAAGGATAAACATTAATGATTATATACACAATACAGCTAGTGCTCGACTTACGACCACGATTGGTTCCGACAGACCGGTCATAACACGATTTGGTCGTAAGTTGAGTAGGCTATATGCATGCGGGGATGGTAGTGCTGCTGGAAGCTGGTCCGCACTGTTGTACGCCCAGCTGGGCAACGTTTGCGCTGCCAGACGCAGAGCAGTCATGGCTAGCGATTGTGGTTGTAAAGTCGAATGGTCGTAAGTTGCATAGGTCGTAAGTCAATCTATACCTGTAGCGTAAACATGTGTCCTGGGGCTTCTCCTCTCTCTGTGCTCTGTTCCTAGGCTGCTCACACAGGCTTGTTTGTGAGAGCAAGAAAATTTTCTAGTTTAGTAATTAGCAAAATGTTCTAATTTAGTAATTGCAAAATTAATAAGCAGTCTTTCAGTCATCTGATTTCATATAATAGATAAATGTAAATAATAAGTAAGAAACCATAAATCGTACATTTCAACCTCTACTGGGTTGTTAGAATATTTAGTGATTTTGAGATGCTAACTACAGTTGGTTAAATTATGGATGGAATCACACTCCTTTTACAGATACTATGGATTGCCTGCCTAACATATATTTTACTGACAGTGAGCCAAGAAAAAAAAATATTCCCAGTTTTCTTGACAAGACGGTATGGTATAAATACGTAGAAAGTCCTCATTCTATTCCAAAAAGAGAAATAGTGGATACAATTTAACAATAACAACAACAAAATTACATTGGAGCTCAAAAGTAAGAAAACAGAATGTCTAGGTTCCTCAAATGAGGAAGTCCCACAGTGGTGAGTGGGAGCTGAAGCTCAGCAGCCCTAGGGGTGGGCCTTAAGTTACAGTCTACAGCACCCATGTGTAGAGGGGAGATGGAAATGGTTTAACTCCCTGCACTAAACAACAAAGAAACATGAAACACAACAGGAATGAGAAGGAGTCTGATATGCAAATTATAGCCAGGAAAGCCAAACCTGGGACAACACAGGCTAAAAGCAGGCCACTTTCTTATTCTAGATAGAATCACTGGTGACAAATAGGAATGCCCAGCTGGTGCCATGTGTGGAATCTGATTTTGTACCATTTGATAGTATGGAAACTCTAAGCTGAAAATCAACATAAGAAATGTGTCCAGAACTAGTGAAAACCATAGATCTCAATAGGGGGCTGAATAAAAAATACACCATAGGAAGACTACCATAATCCAGAGAATGCTTTTGATTCCAATGAAAACAGGAGGAGTTCGGTTAAAAATTATAAATAACATATAAAACCTACCATCATGAAAGTGAGCACATGTAACAAGTATAAGAAATGAAATCTGAGGAATTATCTATAATAAAGCAATCTGAGAGAGGTATTTATTTCTGAATGAATGAATAAATGAATGACAGAGTCTTGTTCTGTCACTCAAGCTGGAGTGCTGTGGCATGATCACAGCTCACTACAGTTGATAAATTGCAAGAAAAAATTACTCAGAATGAAGTGCAGAGATTAAAAAAATTAGTAAAGTTAAGAGACAGAAGACACACCGAAGTTTCTAAAATGCTAAAAGGAGAAAATGGAGAAAATGGAAGAGATAATGCCAAAGAGATGATAGCAGAGACCTATAAAAGAAAGGAAACCTCAAACTGAAAAAGAAAAAAATTCCTAGTAGGAAAAATAAAAATAAATCTGTATTTTGTTATATCACAGATAAAGGTCATACCTTAAAAATTACCAGAGAAAGAGGATAAGACATCCTACAAAGAAATGCCAAGCTAGGCCAGGCATAGCAGCTCACACCTGTAATTCCAGCACTTTGGGAGGCTGAGGCAGGCAGATTGCTTTCAGTCCAGGAGTTCAAGATCAGCTGGGCAATGTGGCAAAACCTTTCCTCTAAAAAAAAAATTCAAAAACTAGCTTGGTGTGGTGGTGTGGCCCTGTAGTCCCAGCTACTCCAGAGGCTGAGGTGGGAGGATGGCTTGAGCCCAGGAAGTGGAAGTTGCAGGGAGCCAAAAGCGTGTCACTGCAGTCTACCCTGGGTGACAGAGCCAGATCCTGTCTCAGGAAAGAAGAAGAAGAAGAAAAAAAGCCAAACTAACATCAGGCTTCTCATTAACATCATAATCATATCCATCAGAAGAAAATGAGGTATCTTCAACATGCAGAGAAGAAAAAACCTGTCAACCTAGAATTCTATACCCAGTTAAACTATCATGTAAGGAATTTTCAGACATACAAAGACTACCAGAATTCATTAGATTCTTCACACACACACACACACACACACACACACACACACACACACACACACAAAAGGTCTTGCTCTTTTGCACAGTCTAGAGTGCAATGGTGCAATCATAGCTCACTGCAGTCTCAAACTCCTGGGCTCAAGTGATCCTTCCACCTTAGACTCCTGAGTAGTGGGGACTACAGGCACGAGCCCACAGGCCAAGCTAATTTTTCTATTGTTTTATAGAGATGGAGTCTTATTATGTTACCCAGATTGGCATAGGTAACATAGCAAGACCCTGGGCTCAAAAGTGATTATCCTGCCTCAACCTCCAAAAGTGTTGAAATTATGGACTGAGCCACTGTACCTGGTCTTTTTTTTTTTTAAAGAAGTTGAGTGGAATTGAAGTGGTGATACATTCAATGAATGTGGGCAAGGAATGGCTTTTAATTCAACAAATATTTACTAAGCACCTATTAGGTTCCTGCCACCATGCTATGCATTTGAGATACAAAAATATTATATAAATATTCAAAGATTATATAAATATACAAAGATTCCCCTACCATTAAGGGATTTAAAAGTGAGTGACAAGCCATTTTAAAAAATATGATACATGTATCTTTTTTCTTTTTCGTATAAGACATTTACCTCTGTAACTTATATTCCAGTTCATTTTATTGAAACTGACAAAAACAACTGCATGTTCTTTGGTAGCAAACCATTTCTAAGGAAAATTGACATCTTCAAAAGCTACCGTGGTTCAGATGGACAAACACAAACACCTGGCCAGGTGGTCAGGTTAAACTAGGGCTTTATATCAGTAAGGTTAAAAGTACTGTCCTTAAAAAAAATTTTTAAAAATTGTATCTTAAAACATGAATAAAACGAAAAATGTTGATAGTTAAAGTTTGAAAGAGATTTGATCCATTTATTTTCTATCACAAAACAAAATGAACACTAAAAGTTCCTAATAAAAAGACTCATCATCCTAGATTATACCCTAAGAAATAATCATTCATTGCTATAGGAAGAGATGGTATTGCTTTACATGAAGGTAAGGGAGTAAGAAGAAAGAGAAGACACTGGGCCAACCAAGAAAACTCCATCCTCATATATTGCAATTTCTGAAGCCACAGAGAAATCATGCCAAGCGATGGCAACTTTCAATTATTTATATGTTTACTCTGGGTCTTTATGACCCTGGTAGAATTACAAAGCTCACATTTATACAGATAACATTTTTCTTAAATGGGTTTTATAACTTCTTTAGGAAAATTCAGCTTTTGCAACCATCGCTATCAGACATGAGGATCTTTAATTTTTGCCAAACATTCCACATTTTAACATCTGGTTCTTTTAGGCAATAATAAAGGGAAAATCATTCTTATTTAACATGGGTTAAATAGCTATCTTTTATTTTTAAAAATCTATCTAGTTTCGTATTTCCATTTTAGCAGGGGACTTTAACATTTTACTGAAACAAGGCTGTCTAGATTTTGTATTTAGCCTAGTTATATTAAAAAATAGATTTTAGGAATCAATGTGCCACTTAGGCTTATTCTGAATGAAACCCCTAAAGGTTAAACGTACAAACTATGTATGGGTTGGGGGCAGTGTCCTGGATTAGTTTCCAATTGCTCCCTTAACAGAGTATCACAAAATTAGTAGCTTAAAACAATATAAATTCATTATCTTATACGTCTGAAGGTCAGAAGCCTAACATGGGTCTCACAAAGGTAAAGTCAAGATGCTGGCAGGGCTGCATCCTTTTGTGGAGGCTCTGGGATAATGAATTTCCTTGCTTTTCCACCTCCTTGAGGCTGCTCACAATCCTTGCCTCGTGGTCCCCTTCAAAATCTAGCAACCCTTCTTCTCTCTCCCTTCTTCATAGTCACATCACCCTCTCACCACAGCCAGGAAAGGTGCTCTGCTTTTAATAACTAATGTGATTAGACTGGGCCCATACAGATAATGCAGGGTCAAAGTGAGTTAATAAACATCCCTAACTGTATACATCCAGTTGACCCATCTCAAGGTCAGCTGATTCAACCTTAACTGCATCTACAACTTTAATTCCTTTTCCTTTTTGCTGGGTAAGGTAGTGTATTCACAGGTTTCAGAAATGAGTTCATAGACATCTCTGAGGGGAGCATTAATTGTTTTCCACTGGCAGGGAGAGTGGGGGTCTTATCCTGGGTCCACTGACCCTCCAAAGGTTTTGTAGATGGGTTTCAGGGACTTCAGAAAGGGATATATATCTATGAATCCCCTGAGGCTGTATTTGCAAGGGTATACATATTTGAGCAGGAACACATTTTTCAAAAAAAAGAGCCCATGACTTTAATCATATTCTTAAAGGTGTATGTGGCCAGAAAGAATTGAAAAACCGCTGTTTTAAGCAGCAGCACCATTGGTATAGTTTTCAAATAATCTTGTTTTTTGAAAAACAGTATCTACTTTATAAAGAG